AACTCCCTTGTCTGAAAAGTCGCGATTCCCACTCAGAATTAACAAATATTACCCCGGCAGAGGTGTAGAAGATCGGTGGAAGGGACGCGCAGCGGGCTTGGGCCTGGGCAGTCGTTTCGGTGTTTCAGGGCCGGCAAAGCTGTCTATCACTTGGGATTTTCGTCTTGGGGTTTCTATTTCCAGTGCGATCCGCCAGGAACAAGTCACACAGAGGCGCAAATCCCATGACTGCTATGTGCCCCTATGGATTATCTAGACCGCTTTTGAGGCTATCATATCTTGTGTGTTCTATGTTATGTGTCTCTTGAAGGAAAGGACGAGAAGACAGTACAAGAGATCTTCGATCTCGCTGTCGAGTGACTGGATCTGTTCGGCATCTCGCTGCTCGGAAGGCGGCGGAAGTGACCGATATCTAGCACGATGGCTGGACCCTCCTGGCAAGGGCCGAATGGGAAAATGGCCACAGGCCACCGCTGGCCGGAATCTAGAGGGAAACGCCTGTCGTACCGGCTGATCGGCGCTAACTTGCAAACCGAACACGCCATGTGTGCGTGCACGCGAGCGAGGTTTGGGGCACGGTGGAGGAGAATCTAGGTCGGTACCTAGGTAGCATACCTTGGCCGTGTTAAGCGGCTGTTAGCAGTATTTGGTGACGCTTGGATTAACTTGGTAAACTCATCGTCAATTGAGGTCATTGAAGAGGCAAATGCAGGCCAAACCAAGGCACACCGAGGCACACCAAGGTTTCCGGCTAATCCCAGCACAAACCGCCCGACTGCACCAGCACAAGTTCCCTTTTCCCATCTTATCCAACTGGCTGGCTTCACTGGCTTACCTGGGCTTGGTCTAACAAACTTTTTTCCATTCCACCCTCCACATCTGGGCAGAGTTACCAAGCAACGAAGCTCCCCATTCAGCTTTCAAAGCGAATGATCTGCGGGATTACTGTAGTCTAGGTACTACTGTCCTACTGTCCTACTGTCCTAGGTGGCTGCTCGATTCCCGAGGCTACCGTTCCGAGCGTGCATAGTAATCGTCAATCCACACATTCCTTGGTCCCTAGACTGGGGAACCACTTTACGCGTGCTCGGTGCTCGTGCCCGTGGTCTTCAACGGACTTAAACACTTACACGTGTGGCTGCACAGCACGCACAGCACAGCGCCAAATCCCCCCACAATCGCCAGCGAATCTCCCTTTCTCCGATGACCAACACCGCTAACTGATTTCTAAAAAGCCCTGGAAATATTTGAGCCTCAGCTGCGCCCACAGTTGGTGGTCCTTGTTGTTTCTTATTTCTCTTCTCCATCTCCATCCCACCCACATCCCACGCCTTGTCTCTGCAGTAGCAGTAGTGGCAGCTTGCAGCAACAGCAGGGCAGTCCCACGTCACGTTATTCCCTTTTTCCTCACCGAGGCTGTCCCGACTCATCTCGACGACTTTGTCTTGTCCTGTCTTGCTCTTCACGCGTCCAAGGCTACACTCTCCTTCCTCTTCCGACCACCACCGCCATAATATCATCCCTGTTGATTCACCGCGAGACTCCGGCCACAATGGATCTCCAAACCGCCCTCATGTCGCGCTCTAATCCTCTGTAATCGAGGAGCCCTGGAAGCTCGCGTGCGCCTCGCCTCGCCTCGCCTCGACTCGACTTGCTGCTTCACCCGCAAACAGCCAGCATCGTCGGTCATTTTCAACATCACAAACTCGAGTTTCCAGCATTACTTCAGAAGTGCCCCCTCCAGACAAAAGTGCCTCTAACTACATGCACTACGCGCTTCTGAAGCTCTCAAACCCACACATTCACCTCACTCTTCACTATAAAGCCGAAGTTTTCCGTGTCATCACGCCAGCACATCCGACCCATCTCCGAAAGCAAACACACTCTCTCGATGAACTTCGTGCTGGCAGAGTTCATCACGAAGCTGGTACTGACCAGTATACTCTTGTCTGCTAGTGCAATTATGTCCAGGAGGAGCACTAGACTGTACGTGGAAGACGGCGACGAAATGGAGCCAGCACCAGCTACAACCACCACAGAGCCCAAGGTCGTGGAGACGGCCACGACTCCACTTGTCGATATGGAGAGAACAGTCTCTGCCAGTAGCCACACAAGCACTGCGACAAACACCTCAAGCAGCAGCTCTCTGAGCTCAGAGGGATCCGCTGCTGTGGATGTCCACCGGGTGTTTGCAAATAACCTTAGCCATGGCCTTGACCATGATCTCAGGTTCCATGCTGCACCTTCTGGCCTGCACAGACCCCACAACTTTGGACTGGTTCTCCCCGGAGTGTATCGGAGCAGTTACCCTAAGGCGGAGGACTACGAATTCATTCAAGGGCTGAAGTTGAAGACGATTGTGTAAGTAACCCTGCCGCCTCTGGGTTCATTTTGGCGATGTTTCCTCTGAGCTAATCATGGGATAGAACCCTGGTCCACAAAGACTTTCCTGATGCTTACAAGTCATTCATCACAACAAATGGCATCCGGCATCATATCTTCAACATGAAAGGAACCAAAAAGGAAGAGATCCCCTTGAAGACCATGCAGGCAATTCTCAGCATTGTCATGAACAAGCAAAACTACCCCTTGCTTATTCACTGCAATCATGGCAAGGTATGTTCACTGTGCTCAAATGTGCTCTAGTCTCGCAGCTTCTTACAAGCATACAGCATCGAACCGGCTGTGTCGTGGCTGCTGTGCGGAAAATTGCTGGCTGGGAGCTTTCCACTATTCTGGAAGAGTATAGAACATATGCTGCTCCCAAGGCCCGCGAGTGTGATATCGAGTATATCACAAAATTCCAGGTGGCAAGCCTAACTGGCGTGTTGGCGGCGAGGGGACCAACTGCCCACTTTCGAGTCCACAACTTCTTTCGAGCCACTCTATTGACATTTGTTGTCCTCGTCATCTGGCTCGTTAGCGGCAGGGAGATTGAAGAGGCTCGGCAACCACCGGACAATAGGCAAGAGGCTGAGACGATGAACTGAACCCGTGCATCTCATCCAATGGGCTCTCATGGATTGGCTTCTTCTACAATAATCACTACCCCTCCGCACATACTTCTCGTATCATGCTTAGGTGCATCGGCACTTGGCATGATTACTGCAAATTATGCTGCATCATGGAGATGTAACAACTCGACTCAAAGAACGATTGGACTAGGGCGTTGGGTCTGCGAAAACACTGCATTGGCATAATCGCATTGTCTGGATAGACATTCGGAGGCTATCAAGCGCTGAGAGGTCTCCTGGCGTTCTGTTTGCGGCTGGCTGGCGGCTTTTTTTCTTTTGTCATTAATCATTCGGATCGGTTTTGTTCTCGTCACTTGTACGGAATAGTAGATATATTTTTACACCAAGAGGGATAAAAAGCTCTTCTTGCTTTGAGTCCACCGTTCGGCCTTGCTCTCTGCGAGCTGGAATTATACACATGGCCCTGACTCCTGACACAGGTCCTTGACAGATTCTCCCGTTACTTTTTGTATACCTTGAATATGCACCATGACTCCTTGATTGTACAGTACCTTCCGATGTCATCCACCAGATCACCTTGACATCTGCATGCTCCGATATCCATTCAAGTCTTCCTAGCCCACATGAAGCCCTCAGCTCTCGTTCCCCCAGCGATTGCGCTCCTTGCGCTCGGCCTTCTCCCTCTCGCGATCGCCATAGGCGTACGCCCAGCCGCCCGCGACGGTGTTCACGCCGCCCAGCCCGATCGCCGCGCCCCGGATGACGCCGCGGGCGCTGAAGCGCTGGCGGAAGGGCTGGCGGCGGCGCAGGGCCAGCAGCACGTACATGCCGCTCCAGGCGGCGGTGATGCCGGCGCTGTCGATCTTGAAGCCGGCCAGGTTGAGGTAGCTGGAGAAGAGCAGCACGGGCGTGAAGGCCATGGGCAGCGCCTGGAAGGGGCGGAAGTGCAGCGCCGTGATGAGCGTCGCGAGGCCCATGGGCGGCATGGATGATACTGCGTGCCGGGTAGGGGGTGTTAGTGGGTGGTCGTGTGCTACCTAGGAAAGGTAGATGGATGGCAGGGAGGGCTTCGGGGAAGACTTACGGCCCCAGCCGTTGAGACGGGACATGAGAGACCTTGAAGGCTCGGCGGTGGGCTCGGTGGACGCCATCTTGGAATTGGAAACCGCTGGAGCAGGTCAATTGCTGGGTTGTGGCTATGATGCCCTTCTTAGAGTTGTCAGGCCAGAGCTTTGGGAACTTTTTTACGGCAGAAAATGCTACCAGAAGCACTGTGACGTGATGTTTCTATCACCCATGTAGCGATGACTAAGCTGGGTGGCCCGCTATCGTACACCACAAAGCTGCTGGTATGGGCTTGTCAATCGCCAAAGGGAGGACTTGACTCTCTGGGCAGGATGTCTCGGATAGACAAGAAAATGCATTAGTCTTCTATAGAGGCTCAAACTAAGACATACCTATCCAGACGACGACAAGAGGCATCTCGAAGATAAGAGGCGGTAATGACATGGGGAATTGAGAACAACAGTTTACCAAGTACTATTATCGTCCCATACGCCAAGCATACTATACTCCTCCGCCAGGATAATAAACGTTAATTGTTGAAGGGTGAGAATACTCAATGTCAAGAGTTATAATACTCATCAAGCTCTCGAATATTCTGTTTATTACCATAGGTCTATCAACTTCTATATAGGTAGTAAACCCTTGTTGAGGAGGTAGTAGTATCCTTGCTGAACTAACATTTATTACCTGGCGGAGGAGTATAGCTTGCAGCTGCCAGAACCCACGGGACGAAGCCCCCCCCCCCAATAAGAAAAAAGCCACCTTCCACCTTCACAAGCCCGCTTTATCAATCCGCAGCCAGGTTTGGTGCACCCGGACCACCCTAGCAACTATCACCAGCTGTCCCTACGAAGCACATCATCTCAACATTGCACTTGCACTCATCTTGCAGTGGCCTGGACGCTCATTCCATTCTGCGTGGTGCCACCAATCATCGAGTTCTCCAGTGTGTCAATCCTCCAATTTAGCTAATCACCGCCTGTCACCCCGACATCCAATCAACACACCTCACGACCGTACAAGCACCGCAAGGGCCGCATCAACAACAACAACAAGCCGGCCGCGGGACAATGAGCGCATCCGCCTCGGGGGCCGACGCCTCGTCGGGCGCGGCGCGCGCCCGGGAGCACAACCAGGGCAACCAGGAGCGCAAGTACACGGTGGAGCAGAAGCAGGCGGTGCTGCGGATCCGGCGGTGCAAGGCGACGGCCTTCTACGACATCCTGGGGCTGGAGGAGGTCAAGAAGACGTGCACCGACGCCGAGATCAAGAAGGCGTACCGCAAGCAGTCGCTGCTGACGCACCCGGACAAGAACGGCCACGAGCACGCCGACGAGGCCTTCAAGATGGTGGCGCGCGCGTTCAGCGTCTTGGGCGACAAGGAGAAGAGGGACAAGTTCGACCGCTTCGGCACGGATCCCGATAGCAGGTTCGCGAGCGCGCAGCAGCAGAATCCGTTCAGTGGCTTCGCGGCGAGGAATGCGGGCGGCGGCGGAGGAGGGGGTGGAGGGGGTATGGGAGGGGGCATGTGGGATGATGATGGATTGAGTCCCGAGGAGATGTTCCAGAGGTTCTTTGGCGGCGGCGGCGGTCCTTTTGGAGGTACGATTTGGTTTTGCGTCTGGCGTAGGAGGCGGGCGAGGCTAATGCATATCTACAGGTTTCGATACAGGCCCCCAGTTCGTCTTTAACTTCGGCGGCGGCCCGGGCATCCGAGTTCACCAGTTCGGCGGCGGCCGGCCCAGGAGACGGCCGCGTGAGGGAGAGCAGCAGGATTCGAGCCTTACCAGCACGCTTTTTGGACTATTGCCCATCCTCATCCTCTTCATCTTCCCGCTGCTGTCGTCCCTGTTTTCAGGCGGCACAACTGACGCCGCCGGTCCACGGATGGTCTTTGACATGCCGGAAGGGAAATACACGCAAGAACGTGAGACTTACAGCGTGAAAGTGAAATACTATGTGGATCCCAAGGACATCCAGTCATATTCAGCATACAAGCTCACTCAATTAGACAAGACGGCAGAGGTGGTTCTCGTGCGGCACTTGCGGGCGGAGTGTGAGAATGAGATCTCGCACAAGCAGCGTCTCTACCAGGAGGCACAGGGCTGGTTTTACCAGGACGCAGAGAAGATGGATCTGGCAAATTCATTCCAGACGCCGTCGTGTAGGAGGCTTGAGAAGATGGGTGTTAGGATCGATAGATGACCTCGGCACCGAAAGACCTGGATAATTAATAGACGGTGTGCTTATGACGGCATCCTCTTGTACCTTGATATCTCATTACAGCTGGCGTTGGAGCGGAATGCTGGGACATAGCATCAAGTTGAATTTGAATACATTTCCATCTTAGGCTCGACAAGGCTCGAGTAATGTATACAATGAAGAGCGTGTATACAGTGAAGAGTGGTTGTGGTTGCAATCCCCGGCCCTTGTAGGGGTCGGGTTTGAAACAAGGAGTAGGGATCTGGGCGACAGCACGGCCGAGACCCCATGGGAAAATCATAACCTTGCCGCAGCATAGCCGCCTGCGCATTCATTCGACCGCAAGGCGGAAATCGTTGGCCTCCGCTGTATTGATCTTTCTCTGTGTACTTATTTCTGGAGAGCATGCTGTGGGCAACGCCGCATTTATGAGCGTCGAATTCCATATCAAGTCGAGTGGAGACGCTCGAGACAAATCAACTTGAATAACCTCTACAACCTTAGCTTAACCTTCCATGTATACTTGAAAAGCTCGAAACAATTATTGATGATTGCATATCACAAGTGAGCTGCTGAGCGCGCTTCTCACAATGGCAACCACCTGTATGACACAGGTCTCCTCTGACACACAGAGGATTCAGCGCTATCTCTCACTTTACACGAGACTGCGTAACAAGCAAAAGAACCGACACTGGCAGATCAAGGGTCCTGGCGAGGAACCATATACGCTTCCAAAGTTGCTCTATTTCTGGAGGAGTCATCTCCGTCTGAGAAGCAGGAAAGACACTGTTGAGCCTGCTGTCCCAATCCCTGAGCAGGAGCCATCAATATATCGGCCGCTTGGCGAAGGCGAGATCAGGCTGATCAAAATCTTGCCAGGCAACTGGAACACACCGCTTCAGTGCGAGCTTGAACACGTTGCTGCGGGCGATCAAGTCAAGTATGTGGCCCTATCGTATGCTTGGGGCGGATCAAACGACCACGAATGGATGAAATTGAATGGCCGGGATCACCGTATCAAGACAAGCCTCGCCGCTGCTCTACGGCGGTTGCGAGACTACTTGTCTCGTGTCAACAAGGGCGCGGACACAATGATCCGAGTCGACACTCAGAGCTTTCGAGTATGGGCAGATGCGCTGTGTCTGAATCAGAATGACATCGACGAGAAACAGCATCAGGTCCCTCGCATGGGCACCATCTTCAGCCGCGCAGAAGATGTCTATATCTGGCTTGAGGAGAATCCATCAGACAGTGACTACGCAATCCAACGTACTTTAGACGCGGCTAACGCTATCCATGCTTCGATGGATAAGAGAGCTGCGCAAGAGAAGTTTGCGGAAATCCATGGGAATGATCTGATTGTTATAGAGCGTGGGTTCAACTCTTTGTTCCGACGGCGGTGGTTCGGAAGAGTGGTAAGTTAAACAATTATCACCTTACAGGCAAGGCTGGATTCTAGACTGGCAAAGTTGGTCTACATTAATCCGCTAGAGGAGCGCATACTTGTTCTGGTAAGAAATCGCTAATATTATATTGCAGTGGGTGATTCAAGAGGTTGCGCTTGCGAAAAGGGCACCGATAATCATCGCCGGATACGCGTGGACCGATGCTGATAGCTTACTGCGACTGTTTCGGACCGTCAACCCCAGACCTATGGCCAAGATAGGACTACACCACATCATGTTCCTGATCCTGATGGCCCAAAGGCAGAGATATGCCAAGAAAATGGGCACTCGCGAAATGATGCACCCGGATCCCCAAGTCATGGCCGCTCACCTGCGAAGTGCCTTGGAGAATATAGGGTTCTTCAACGCTTCAATTAGCCACGACTACCTGTATGCTATCCTCGGTCTCTGCACAGCGGGCGATCTCCCAGCTGCGTTGGCACCAAGTTACAAAACACCATTCGAGGAAGTTTGCCGAAACTACACCAAGTTCATCATCGAGGCGAACGGAAACTTGTCAATCTTAACAGCGAGCCGAAGATGTAGTGCCTCGGTACCCTCTTGGGTGCCGGACTTTACGTCTATTGTAGATATAGGACCGAGTTCATTCCCGACCTTTGTCAAGTTCTCGGAGTGCGGTCGGAAGTTGAAAGTGCTGGGGAGGCAGATCGGGCGATGTGTTGAAGTGCATATGCCCACGGAATACCCTCCTTGGATGGAGCGTCAACCCAATGAAAAAAACCCAAGTCAGGGTCCTTATCATAAGTTCAGAAAGTTCCAGGATTATTTGCAGTCAGCCGCAGATAGACACAATCTCCCACTTATGGAATACATAGAGAGGTGGCTCCTTTTGACAACCAAGAATATCCTGCGGGGCGGAGTTATAGACTCGGCCCTGGTCCATGAAAGCCAGCGACTGTTGTTACAGACATATGATGAGAACACGGATGCCTTCAAGGACACGACCACGGCACTACAATTGGCAGAAGCCCACCTGGCAGGAAAGTACTGCTCACAAGATGAGGTGGCGCCGGACTTGCACAGCGACCAGGCATACCGTCAAGGACTCCTGGAAGCTCTCGCCAAGGCAATGGACGAGGAGCAGCCGTGGCCAAAGGAGATACAAACCGTCTTTGACCAGGAGCTCACGACCTTCTCGAGCGTGCTCACGGACAATGGCACGTGCGCGATCGTGTTGCGCCTGGACAATACCCTCGAGATTGGAGATGTTGTAGTCTGCGGCGTGGAGGAGGATGCCGGAAAGGCGATGAACGCGGCCCTCTTACGCCATACCGGCACGACGAACGAGTATAGCTTTGTAGGGATGGTACAGTCTCAGCCGTGGCACTTTCTCGAGACCTACGTCAAGAATATCATTGAGACGGCGGTGCCTGAGGAGCTTGTCATTGTGTAGACGAGACCATGTTCGATCCTGAAATCGATTCATGGTTAATGGCGTTCACGGCTCCCGAGGTCTCTCGAAACCAGGAGAAAAAAGATGCACGGGGTTTGGTCTTGAACATGTGGTGAGTCGGCAGTTATAGTTACAATCCATCGTCAGCAATATACCCCTATTTGCATTTTACGGGAGACCAGACCAGATAGAGTTAAATGCCACGCTTGAACATTAAGTCCACCAAATTATAGATCTTCGGTCAATGAGTGGAATCTGGTGCTTCTTCTTGTAGAAGCAGTCATGAAGTCCAGTTCCCACCATCCGGGGTGCCGAGGCGGGTAACACCCGCACTATCTAGCAGCGGCCTACCTGATTAGCTGGGGCTCTGGTAGCAGCTGCGTCATGGCCATTAGCTGTGGCTGGTGCAGCGGTGTTCCTGGGGGTCCCTGTCCTGGCTGGCTGGCCTGGCACTCCTGGCCTGGAGTGACTGAAGAGGCAAAGACGAACAGAGTGACGCGCAAGCCGGGCTGACCCGCTCACGTACTCGGCCACGACTTGCCCGGCTTCTTTGCCGCTGAGTGGCTGCTCTTGCATGCGGATGCAACCCGACTATTGATACATCGTGTCGCATCGTGGTGCGTGCTTCAGAGGAATGCAGTCCTTTCGAGCTGTATGTAAATAGCTGCCTTCACTTGAGGCAGTTAGTAATTAGCAGTAAACGTCGAACAAAAAGCTGCTGCCTGGGACTCGGTTCGGTTCTCGTCTTCTTCAAACTTGCGTGGCGTCACAGCTTCCAGCTTAGTTACCTAGTTTAGTTCACAGTTGTGGCAGAGTGGGTAGCTTTCCCCAGTCAGTGAGCCACCCCATACCTTTACTCCTCCGCCAAGATAATAAACGTTAATTGTTGAAGGGTGAGGATACTCAATGTCAAGAGTTACAATACTCATCAAGCTCTCAAATATTCTGTTTATTACCATAGGTCTATCAACTTCTACACAGATAGTAAACCCTTGTTGAGGAGGTAGTAGCACCCTTGCCGAACTAACATTTATTACCCTGGCGGAGGAGTACCTATAGGTACCTAGGTACAGCTACCGGTACACCGAGAGAGGGAGCCCCGCCAACTACCCGGGCTGGCTGCTGGGGACGTCACTCTGCACTGCTCCAATTCAGCGCACCGCCACCAGCTTCGCTCGTGCACTCGTGCATGTGCCAACACCCACTTTCTCATCTCGACACTCCGTCCAAGATCCATAAGTCGACCTGTATGGCTTCAATATTCCTGCAAGCTCATTATTTCAGCAGATCAAGTCACTAATCTCATTATTGACACAGAAGCCACCGCTGTCGAGGTTACACTTATATCTGTCGGCCAAGGCGGCTCAGCTGCCGACTGTCCGTTCGACGTGCGCCATCTTCATCGACGCATCTCGACCACATCAAGCACCATTTTCGATTTTGAACCGATCCATACAATCGCTCAGTATTCGCTTACGGGTACACGTCAGCCCCCCAAGATGGTTGCACGCAAGCCGCTACCTCAGGGTGCCGCGGTCGATCCCAATTCCACGAACCGGGCCAGTACGCAAGATGCTCGGCAGGAGCTATGGTCGACCTCCGAATCCGATGCAGGAGCTGAACAAGGATGGGGCGATGGTACGGATATCCAAAGGAGGCTCCCGGGTGAAGGTCCCGGCCACTTGGCTCCACAGGATGTTCCAGATTCACTAAGACCTGGAGGACCCAGGCAATACTCAAACTTTGAGGACGAGGAGGAGAGTGCCTGGAGAGAAGAGGAGACACGCCTACACCCGAACGCACCGAACGGTCAGGGGACGGACTTGAACAGCGTACCGGCAGCCCTGCGGCCTGGCGCTGGTGCTGGTGTTTCTCGGACGGAGACAAACCCATTCAAACGGAAACCCTCGCCAGCTGCCAGCCGCGAAGCTATCCCCATACCGCCGGCGCCCACCAACACACCTCCCGTTCCACCTACAGGCTCTTTCTCACAATTGAGCCTAAACGACAGCAGTAACAACCCATGGCAGCCAGCGTTGGACGAGCAGAAGAAAGCTGCTCCGACCCCTCCATTCATCTCGAACCCATCAGACCAGGACTCCGGTCCAGAAGTATGGGGTTCAAAGGAGCCTTCTCGGGCCGCTTCTACTGCCCCGGCCTCTACATCACCGGCTTTGATGTCTTTGCCTTCCGAAGATGGATCGGCTGCTTGGGACGAGTCTCCGCCACATAAACCATCGCTTCCACCTCTTCCCCCGGTCGGAACGGAGCAGGATGAGGTCTTGGAGGATTCCCACGCTTGGGATGATCTTGGCACTCAGGATAAAGGCAAGGCGCCGATGAAGCCACCTCCCATTCCAGCGATGTCAAACGAAGGAACCGTTGATGGCTGGAATTTGATCGATGGCGAACCAGGTCCAGCTGTGCCCTCGAGGCAAAGTACATGGGAGAATTTCGTTGATGCGGAAGAAGCTCCGGAAATGGAAGCACCTCCAGCTCGACAGTCCGAGGAAAACCCTCCAGCTCTACCACCCCGGAGCTCCGCAGGGCAGCCGCCGCCTCAGCCACCGCGGCCCGTGGCCGATAAGAATGAGACGTATCAGATCAAGAACATCAATTGGTACGATGTAACTGCGGCTAAGAACCCACGAACATCGCCGATACTTGTGCAAAATGCAAACGGCCCGTGTCCCTTGATGGCCCTCGTCAACGCGCTCACCTTGACTACGCCAGCCGACTTGCAGGACACAGCATTGGTTGAAACCCTGAGGACAAGAGAGCAAGTCAGCCTCAACCTTCTTCTCGATGCCGTTTTAGACGAGCTCATGTCGCCGAGACGCACAAACCCGGATGTACCTCTGCCGGATGTCCTGGAGCTGTACGAATTTTTGAAGGGTCTCCATACCGGAATGAACGTCAATCCCCGCTTCATTCCGACTCCAGAAGTCATAACGGCTTTCAAACGAACTTCTTTAGTTCATCTACACCCCACAGAAAGAGGAGACCTGATACCCGGCACTTTCGAGGATACCAGGGAGATGAAGTTCTATGCAACATTCTCCATACCGCTAATACACGGCTGGATACCTCCCAAATCAGACGCTGTATATGGTGCGTTTGAAAGGCGCGCTGCTTCCTACGAAGACGCCCAAAACTTGCTTTTTAGAGAAGAAGAACTCGAGGAAAAGCTTAGCAGTTCATCTCACCGAGGACTGACTGAGGAGGAGCAAGGCATATATCAAGATATCCTCACAATCAAGTCTTTCTTGAGTATCTCGGCCACCCAACTTACCCCTTGGGGTCTAGAAGTCATCACAAAAGCAACCAGACCTGGGTCGGTTGCTATCCTTTTCCGCAACGACCATTTCTCCACCTTATACAGGCACCCTCAGACTCACGAGCTTCTTGGTCTCGTAACGGATGCTGGCTATGCATCTCATGCTGAAGTGGTTTGGGAATCACTTGTGGACGTGAACGGCGAACACGCGGAGTTCTTTTCGGGTGATTTTCGTCTGGTCGGCGGTGCCAATCAACATGGTGATTCAGGTTCACATCCTTCGGCTGCGAGAAATGAAAATGCCTCGACCGGCCGCGAAGGGGACTGGACGACGGTTCAAGGCCGAGGGAGACATCGACACTCTACGCACGATGACCCGCCTCTGTCTCCGAAGCACGAGCAGGAAGATCGCGATCTAGCGCTTGCGCTTCAGCTCCAGGAAGAAGAGGACGAACGCCACCGCGCTGAGCAGGCCCGGCGGCGAAGAGAGAGTATCCTTTCAGAGCAGTACATCGAACAACAGGGCCGCCCGCCCGCACAGGCAGGTCGGGGCGGGCCACCAGCCCAGAGAGGACGTGGCCGTGGTGGACCTATCGCCGAACCGGGACGCCGCAGCTCGAGCAACACCATCTCTGTGACGACAACCAATTCTAGCACTAGCACGCGTGGTGGTCGTGGGGGTGGTGCAGGGCCGAGCCCTGACCTCCGTCGCGGCCCCGTTCGTCCGGCACAGCAACAAGTTCGCCCGCTTGTGCCGCCCGCCACTCCACATACTACAACGAACAGGCCGGTGAATGACGATTTGGACGATGCCCCGCCATCGTACGAGCAGGCCTCCAAACAAGCCGCCTACGTGCCGCCGAGCGGTCATCCCAGCCATCCTGCCAGCAGCCCTGGTGCGACGCACGGTACTGCTAGCCCTGTGGCCGGGCCGAGTACACCGTCTGCATCGTCGACGAGACTACAACAGAGCTCGGGCATGGCGCCACCGGCATCTCCGACCTTTGGAAGAGGTGGCCTCCGTCAGGGTATATCGCCGGCCGCTGCTGGTAACTCGTCAAGCGGCAGAGACAAGGACTGCGTCGTCATGTAGGATGGTGACGGCAACGTGTTGGCGACTGAAAGCACTGATAACGGTGTGAACAATGGCGAATTCGAAGGCAATGGTGATGCTACACGTGATACTCCGGGAGTTTATCTTGGTCACGGCTCTGGTCTTTGACCATAATGTCTGGAGTCAGAGTTGAAGTAGACCAAAATCGAAGAGAATCAGAGGGAAGGGGGTTAATGAGCAGACGATTCCATGAACATCGCAGCATGGTTCTTGCGTAAATCTAACGTCAATGGAATGGGTAGGAGTTCGGACAGCGCTTCGCCTTGGATTAGATAGGACATAGGCTTTGTAATATTATGACACCAGCGAGATAGCAAAATGGATCGAATCCTTTGAGATTCGCTTATACCTCAAGCAATTATTATATGTGGATGAAGTTTGACGCCATAAGATTAGTTGTATGATATGCCGCCTAAACCTACCGGGTGGAGAGATAATGGCGAGGTACCTAGTATTAGACGACCCCTGACAGCGTTCATTCCAGAGGCATTGCGGATGATTGGCACGATGACCGGGCATGCAGTCGGAGAAAATGTTGGATGAGTGGCTATTGAAGCTCCCCCGGAAAATGGCCGCTCTAGCGCATCGACCAAAGAAAAATACAGCACGCGGGGTATCAGGGGTTCAGTCCGTTCCATTAGCGGGAAGCGGACGGCTGTGGTGGAACCCGCTGGGCTGCGCCTGTCAATCGGTATCCGGCTTGGTGCCCTGCCCTGACAGATTTTCTAGCAGGTAGCAGGTAACGTTAAAGTCGCCTGATGACAGGTGCCTCTTAGTATTGACATCATCCATTCCGGGTCAAGCGGTGTGTGGGTGTGGGATAGCTTCTCTCACTCCAATTTTCTGTGCCGCCGCCGCACACTTCATTGTCTTCTCATATTCTAATTTACGACTCTCGTTCAGTCTCATTCTGCGTCTCTTGAACTTAGCAGGCCTCGTTGTGAAGATAGACAAAGCGCCGCTTGTGATCCCAGTCGCTCGTTGCTCGAACTCGGGACGCATCGAACTGCTACAACGGCAGCATGGCTCTCATACAGGATTGGGTCCCGCCCACCAAAGAGAACTACAACTTCATTCTCTTCTTATGGCAGCTATACCCCCTGGTATGCGCTCCAGTCCCGAACACCCGGTAAACCCTACAACTTGCAGTCGTCGCTAACATTGACTCTTCTCAGTTCGCATCTGTTCAATGGCTGATATCATGGTATGGCATGGGCAAGACCTCCGTCGAGGGAAGACTGAACCTGCCCGGACGCATTGGCTGGATGACCATGGAGTGTCCCGGCTTCACCCTCCTGCTCTACATCATGAGCACCCTTCCTAAGGAGCACGGTATCACCGACCTCCCCTGGCAGAACAAGGTCCTCGCGGGGCTCTTCGTGAGTACCCAATCCTGCTGATCGGACCCCGCGCGTTCTCCTGCCATAGATGCGCCGGGCCACCACACCAACACCGTACACATGTTTGCTAACCGGTCGGGGCGTGGCTTGCGTCCAATGCAGGTCATCCACTACTCGTACCGCGCCGTCGTCTACCCCTGGATCCAGCCCTCCATGTCGCCCATCCACGTCCTCGTCTGGGCCCTCGCCGCCGTCTTCCAGGTCTTCAACGCCACCTGCATCGGCAGCTGGCTGGCCGCGTACGGGCCCACGACCGCCGAGGCCTGGGAGCGCCAGCTCGCGCCGTGGCCGCTGCTGCAGTTCACCATCGGCGTGGGGCTCTTCTACTTCGGGCTGGCGGCCAACTACTACCACGACGACGAGCTGCGCGAGATCCGCCGCCGCGAGGAGCTGCGCCAGGACAAGATTGCGCGCGAGAACGGCGGCGGATCGCGCGAGGGCATCAAGAAGCACTACCAGATCCCCGAGGCGGGCCTCTTCAAGTACATGCTGTACCCTCACTACTTTGTCGAGTGGGTCGAGTGGACGGGCTTCTGGATCGCCTGCGGCCTCAGCTGCGTGCCGGCGCGCATGTTCGTCGTCAACGAGGTCGCGGCCATGCTGCCCCGGGCGGTGCGCGGCAAGAAGTGGTACCAAGAGAAGTTCGGCGAGGAGAAGATCAAGAGCAAGTGGGCGGTCATCCCGGGCGTCTGGTGAGGTGGGCTTGTAATGAGTCTGTGTCTGTGTGCGATGTCCGTTGGAGACGTCGGTTGTGATTCATAGATCCCTTTATCTTAGACTTGGGACTATAGATGAGATGAAGACATGTGGTACTTTCATAATGTTTGGTGAGTACTTGGCTAGATTCAGAAAAGTATATATAAACCCCCTTCTCACCCCTGTCTGAGTTTCTCCGTGTTGGATGTCAATCCTGTTAATTATGTCAAGTCAACACAAGGTCGAGCAAACAGCTACACTGGTGGTACTTGTGTAATCAACATCTATTACCTTGCAACAAACGCTTATTATCATGGAGTATCTCGTCGATCAGGAGCTCCAGGCCTCCATGAGCGCTAGGCATATCATGGCGGTCGAGAATGTGGAGATGAAGACGGCCATAAACTCAATCTATGCGCTGGTGCGGCCGTGTATAGCGCCTGTCGTAGACGAGCCCCTCGGACACGAGGGCTCTCGGACCGCAATGCACACGGTCGAGCTCAACGTCAAAGACCCAGCCAGCTCTGCCGCCTTCCTTTGTGAGGTCTTGACGCTCCCCAAGGCCCTCGTGTCTGCGGACAACAGGTCGGCCATCGTCCAAATGAAGAATATGCGTCTGGAGCTCCTCGCGGATGCAGCGGAGGATGAACCTGAGCTCCCCCGTGAACACAATATCAAGTTCAAGACAACAATTTCCAATATCGAGTTTGCCAGGAAAGCATTGGCGGCGAGAAACTCCCTGTGGGGCTTCATGAAGCCGCGCGGCCAGCACGTCGTTGAGTTCTTGGACCTGGATGGCTATCACTGGGAGGCTACTGAGATCAAGGGCAACGACTTTCGACCGGCGGACACGCCTCCGGTCTTGGAGCAGCAGGTCTACCAACTCAAGGTGGAGGACTTCTCGGTTGTGCCGGAGGAGAAGAAGGATCCTAAGGACAAGGAATATGATGTGGCGGACTATTAGGCTATGCTGCAACATCTTTTGCATTGATCGCATCGAGAAGGAGTATGGAGCAGAGAGTATTTGACTGCGATATTGACTTTACGGAAAGGGAAGGGGTGGAGAGGAGGCGCCCATAGTTAGCTGGTTAATTCTGCTTTTGATTTACATCTCTTACTTGAAAAGTCTTGTATCGAATGTGGCGTGTACTTATTGACCATTTCACACACGAGCAATACACAACGCGAATTGGATTTCCAGCTTGAGTTCTGAGCACATTACCGTAAGCATGGTTCCGTGAGGAAGTAAGTGGTACTGCGAAGTCTACATAAAGCCTCTTGTTTACAAGCGAATATTCCATTGATCTATGGGGTATAGCACATCCAGAACGCCTAAAACGATAGCTCAAGTGGACCTTCTCTTAAACTACTCCTCTAGCATGCTGACGCTGAGATCGTCTTACTGGTCGGACTCGAAGAGTCGCCCGTAGTTGTAGGCAGACTCACGACAAACTGCGGCCCAAACCCGTCCTGGCCATCGTTGAATTCGCTGTTGTCCAGGCTCGCAAGCGGCTCAGGGCTCAGCACGCCCGTCTGCTTGTCGCGAGCAAACGCAGCCAGGCCACTCTTGCCGCCTTGGTTTGTAGCGAACAGCGTGCTTTTGTCACCGCCCAGGGCGATCGAGCGAGGGAGGAGCCCTCCGGAGCTCACAGAGTCCAAGAACATCAGATTCAGCGGCCCATCGGTCGAACCGGCAAGCGCAAAGTGCGAGATGCTGTCTGTATCGTTGCCGGTGAGGCGATTCGTGACGTAGACGTCGGCCCGGCGCGTGAGCAGGTTGAGGTCGAGAAGCAGCTCACCGGCACGAGCGCTGGTAGCGTTCGCAGGCGGGAAGGCCTCCCCAAAGGTGGAAATATTCTGCACTGGGGTGAAGTCGATCGACGTCTTGGTGTAGTTGAGCTTGTACAGCAGGATGAGGTTCAGCGTCTCGCAGACGACCATGTAGTGGCTGGCCTGGCTGAAGCCCCTATCCGGAGGAGGGAAGAAGGCGCCGTGCCGCGGCCCACATCCAGCAGGCGTCACGTGGAAGTGGTTGACGACGGAGAAGTCGCTGCTCGCACCATCAAGCACGAGAAGCGTGTCGGTGCCCAGATCGTTGACGACAAAGAACCGGCCGCTTGGCTCCAATAATACTTGGTGGGGATGTCCTGCCGTCTGCCCTGGACCAGGGGTGTCCGTGGAGGCTATCGATCCAACGAGACTGAAGCTCTCGTTGCTGGCTGTGATGTCAAAGATGTCAATCTTGGCGCTTCCGTATGCGGCGCCAAGCATCCTGGTTCGATCCGCATTATACTCGAGGTGTACCAGGCCGGCAGAGCCAGTTGTGAAAATCCTCTTGGGCTCATCCAGGAAATTCAGACTTATAGTGTTGCTGTTCTCGTCCACCGAATAGAACTCGGTCGGGGACTTGGGGAGTAGCCAGCTTGGTACAGTTCCGGGCGCGCCATAATTTGAGGTTATCTCAAAAGAGCCATTGCTGGTAAATGAAACACCGGTAATGTAACCAGGACCACTGACGAGCAGGCTACTTCCAGCGGTGCTATTCGAGAAAAGAGCGTTACCCTGGCGAGCGACAGGGCGAAAGGGCACAGCAGAGACCAGCGCTGCCGTGACAAGAAATGAGATTAGTTTCAGCATCTTAACAGATTCGCACTTCAAGAACTGTGAAGAGAGGAGTTACCTCACGATGGCCAAGTCAACGTCTGGGAGAGACTTATATGGCGTGTTGTCCGCCAAGGCAGGATCCAACAACATCTCTGAGTACAAGGAGTGAATGAAGACAAAGTAATCGAAAGCGTCACAAAGAAAAGAGTCATGGTGAATGGTTGGCTTCAATCGCACAATTGCTTTGTCGTCAAAGCTGTTGTACCTCTTCCTATGGCTTTGTGTGGAGGTTAGCCAGCCAATCATCGCTCTTGCTCTAGCCTCTTTCAACACAACTCAAGACAGACCCCGGAGATGCACCTGCAGCCAGAAGGGGCTTCCTTAGGCCTGTCGATTAACTGCAATTCCCCAAATTAGCCGCTGTCGCGTGTTTCAGCAACCCCTACTGCTGACATGAGGATCTTGAGAGCATCGGTGTTAATAACTATTAGCGGTTCATTGAATATCGATGTCTCTTGCTAAAAAAATCTTACAGTACATGCGGATTGGCAACTCTCATATCAATCCAAACCGTCAATATTGCTATCCCATTCTGCCTTGCACATATGGGTGACCAGCACTTAAGCCTCCATCGATTGCCCAGGCCTGGCCGTTTACATAGCTACTCTCGTCGCTACCTAGGAAAAGTGCAACTCGTGCAATTTCGTCGGCGTGCCCGCCGCGCTTCAGGGGATTGAGCTGACCGATCTTCTTCTCGGTTCCCCGGGACCTTGCAACCTCAAATACTGGCGCAGTCATTCCAGTCTCGATAAGGCCTGGGCAAATGGCGTTGACTCTAACATTAGAGTTCGCGAGCTGGTAAGATATCGTCTGAGCCATAGATATGACAGCGGCCTTAGAAGCTGAGTAAGCTGTCGCGCCGGCATTAGATCGGATGCCCGCTACAGAGGCAGTCATGATGATGCTGCCAGCAGACTTCTCTTTCTCGGCAGATGTCTTCATCATCGCAGGCGCTGCATGTTTCGCGGCCAGGAAGACACTAAAGCACTCAGTTTACGGAGACTAGTGAAGTGCATTTCACTCACCCGAGGGTATTGACTCTCAAGACCTGCATGAAGTCCTCCTCGTCGACGTCTGTGAATACAGAGTGTGGGCCGATGATGCCGGCATTGGCGAAGAAGACGTCTAATCGTCCATATTGTTGGACGGCGTCGTCTATCACGGCCTTTACCGCCTTCTCGTCGGCAGCGTCAAACTTCCTCGTGTGCACATTTACGTCCGGGTACAATGACTTGATCTCACGTTCGTGAAAGCCAAGATACTCATCGTCATAATCGCAAATGTACACTGCCTTCGCGCCATTCTGGGCGAACTGATGCGCCGAGGCTCGACCAATGCCGAGGAGCGAGTTGGCTCCTTGATCATGAGATGTTAGCAAATCGCTCGAAAAGCAAACGATAAAGACAGACCTGTTATAATGACTACTTTGCCCTGTACTCGCGGGCCACCGGATGCTGCAGCAACCTGCTTTATGCGTGGGATGCCCTCATATGTGCCATCCTCGACGGTTGCAGGTGCAAGCTGTTTGCCGATAGCGTGCAGCCGCTCCTTCGCCTTGTCCGCCATCTTGGAGCTGAAATGGGAGACTGAATAGATACGATGCAGAAGACTAGACCATGTCACAAAGAATTCAGGCTCCGTAATGGTAGCTTTAATGGAGGATGTCGTTGTTGAAGAGTAAGGTCAGCAAGAATAGAGGGATGAGGGAGTGCGACCCCAGATGCGAACCTCGATGCCGAGGTCCGGATCCAGCACCAATACCAGCAACTTACCAGCGCTGTGGCCCTTAGAGCTGCTGGGGCTCGGGGTAGGCGCCGTCATATTGCGGGGAACGCTAGGCGAGACATAGCACCCCTTAAACATTTAAATACGGGGACGGTTTTTCCGACCAAAAATAAAAAGTAAAATAAAAATACGCGGCTGGGTAGACTACAAGACGAATCCATGCAAATAGTTGACGGTCATGGTTCTTTCAGATACTCCAGGGCTTTAAGATGTTGTCGTTGTAGTCTTAACTACAAACATTTAACAGCCAAACTCGAGTCTGATTTCCATGCTAGCTGGCAGAACATACACACGCAGACTGCGCAGCCAGGCAAGAAGTGTGAGACATATGGCAGGCAGCCTGAACCTAATTTCAATCATGAAGTTTTGTGACTGTTGAGTGATAGCGAGGATTGTTCTCCTAAAGTATATCGAGACCTCGGAAGATGATGACGAGACGCGCAAAGTGGAGTACGAGAAATATTTGTAACAAAAAAACCCACGCAACAGTGATATATTCACTATCCATGTAGTCATAAGAGTTGACCGCTTGTTAGATGGTTGGAGCATGCCTTATTCGCCAATCCATCACTGTACTTAGTACACGTTCTTTTCCCATTATACACTGACACCTCCTAACTATATCCCTTAATATCACACGGCCATTCCGCCGGCAGGTCCACCAGGAGGTGGTGGAGGAGGAGGAGGAGCTGGACGACCATTATTTCCACCGTCCCCACCAACAGGGGGTAATAACCCGCCCTCAAGAGGGTTTGGCAGCTGAGGGATAGTCATCGGGCCTTGAGGCACTTTGACACGGTCAGGAAGATCTTCTCCACGCAAAACCTTCTCGACCTCTCCCTTGTCAAGAGTCTCGTAATCTACAAGCGCATGCGCAAGTAGATCCAATTCCTTACGTCGGGCAAGCAGAAGCTGCCTCGTCCGCTCATATGCTTCTGTGAGAGTTCTTTGTACTTCAGACTCAACCTGGGCACGTGTCTCTGAGCTGAGTTGCTCATACATCCGTTGATACTCCATGGGCCCGAGCTTCGAAGACATTCCGAACGCCGCAACCATTTGATACGCTATCGCGGTTGCATTTTGCAGGTCCTGTTTTCATTAGCATGTGAAAAGACGTGTGATGAAGATGGGGGCATCTTACACTTGAGACGCCGGATGTCACCATGTCGCTGCCGTAGACGATCTCTTCAGCTACCTTGCCTCCGAGGGAGACTTCGATCATGGCCAAGAAGTCCTGGGCACTCTGAGAATAGCGGTCCATGTCGGGGAGTTGGGATGTATGACCGAGACTACCACCTCGCGGTAGCACGGTGACCTTGTAAAGTTTCCTGGGTTGCACCTTGGCGAAGTAACTGACCAAGGCGTGGCCAGCCTCGTGATAAGCTGTCATTTCTTTCTCCTTTGGCGAGATTACCATGCTTCTTCGCTCAGCTCCCATCAGCACCTTGTCTCGAGCCCAGTCAAAGTCCTTCACCGTGACGGATTCGGCCTTCGACCTGCTTGCGTGGACAGCGGCCTGGTTAACAATGTTTTCAAGTTCAGCACCTGAGAGGCCTGGGGTTGTCTGCGCGATGGCCTGAAGATCAATGCCCGTTGCCATCTTGATCTTCTTAGCATGATGCTGGAGAATAGCTAGGCGGCCACGAGCATCTGGAAGGTCAACTTGCACGTGGCGATCGAAACGACCAGGTCGTGTCAAAGCCTTGTCAAGGAGCTGCGGAAAATTGGTAGCGGCAATGATGATGACACCACTGTTCTGTTCGAAGCCATCAAGTTCAGTCAGCAGCTGGTTGAGTGTTTGCTTGACATATGCGGCATCTCGAGCGTTTCGCCTGCCTCCTATGGCGTCCAATTCATCAATGAAGATGATAGCGGGCGACTTCGATTTTGCCGAGGTAAAAAGATCTCGAACACGCTTGGCTCCAACACCAACGTAGACCTCGTCAAATTCACTACCAGACATGTAGAAGAACGGAACACCAGCCTCCCCAGCGACAGCTCGAGCGAGAAGGGTCTTTCCGGTTCCAGGAGGTCCAACTAGTAAAATACCTTTGGGCAATTTTCCTCCCAGAGTTGAGAATTTGTCAGGATTGCGTAGGAACTCGACAAGCTCCTGTAACTCCTCCTTCGCCTCATCGCAGCCGTGGACATCGGAAAATCGCGTTGTTTGGTTTTCGGGTTTTACCTCACTGTCTTGACGACCTCCAGTCCGTTTGAATGTGTTCAGACCGTCAATCATCATAGTGACAACAACCAAGCTTAGGTAGGTGAAGAGGCAGAACCATAGGACAAACTTGATCCAGCGGAAGAAGACCCCGCCAATGGATTCATCAACGACAACATGTATCGGGCCGTCCTTTGTACCAGTGCCTTGAGTCCCCTTTGCTATTGCGATGTTGGATCCCTTGGATTGCGCGGCGAGTGCTTGGCTGACGGCTTGGAGTTGGGTTGGGGTTAATCCACTTGGGTGGTTGGCAAGATTGTTTTCACCAGCTCCTGTAGCTGCGACATCACCGCCGCTGTTCATCGACAGTAATGCACGGTGATAAGCCTCGTCAATTGCATCATTGCGTGCAAATCGACCTGACTGATATCTCTCAACGACGAGTGCAGGCATATTTGCCTTCAAAAGGGCCTGGTAGTAGGCATTTTGAGCACTGGCACTGCTGGGGTTTCTATTCGCAGCAGCTTCTCGGCTAGCAAGCAGGGCTGTATTCCGGCTTCCGAGACTAAAGCTGGATCGCTGCATTATCGTTGGTCGCATCGTGTTTACACGTAGCGTCTGAAGCATTCCCGTTGGCAGAATTGGCTGGAAAGGGGACATTGGCAGGAGAGAATGTCTGGCAGCAGGCGGGGAGATTGAAAAGCCGCCGGGAAGGTTTATCTCCCTTAGAGGTCTCGACGGCGGCGCAGCCGTCGAAAACAGACGACTTCTCATGCCAGAAGCGGCAGCCTTGCGTACCAAGGGATTCGAGGCAGCGCCCAATAATAACGGTGACATTCCTGCGATAGATGCTTGAATATCCTGTGAAGCAGGGACTGCTCTTGGTATGAAAGAACCTGCGCGTAGTGACGACATCGGGGCCGCTCGCATGAATTCGGGAACTGGGGGCTCGTAATGTAGCTTTTATATGTTAGTTAGATGTTCATGTTCTCTCGCAAGAGCAACTCACTGGTTGCAACAGTGAAGGCTTCTCCGACAAGTGTTGGGGTTCGGTCTTCTTCGAGCGCGGAGCTGGCGCATGGCCGGAAGAGCTTGAGCTTCTCCAAGGCACTAAGAGAGTGTTTGCTATCGATGGCCACAAGTCGGTAGTTGCTGCTGCTATGTCCTGCGCAAGATGACATTCGTCAGTCCACTATACTCAACAAGTCCTACAGGTGGCAAAAAGGTAGGTAACGAACCGGCAGCAAGGCACTCTGGAAAGCCATCGTCCTGGACTGAAATCCTCTCCTGTAGAGGAGAAGGTTGCAGAGGACTTGTCACAATGAACGGGGAAGTGGGAATGTAACAAAAGGAATGAGTGCAGTGACGAATCGATTCGAATGAGAAGAGAATAAGATATTCGCGACTGTGAGTGATGCCGGGTTAGTCAGTCGGATCGGAGCTGTGGCATCAGTCAAAGCCGGCTAGTGGCGACACGCGCTGATTGATGACTAGTTAAAGTCTCCGTTGGCTCGTAGTCGACATTCTCGTCGTCCGTATGAGCACCTGATGGCCGGCCTGGTGTGTCCCAATGGTTTAAGAGCGGATGCGGGAAACGGGCGATTCGGAACTTCCAGGTTGACGGCTCTCAGCCGTCACTGGCTGCGATTCCGGCAGATTCCACCGCCGAAAAAACAGACAGAGCTAATCCACGTGATCCATCACGTGCTCACTCAGCCTGCTCTCACCAGTTATCAGTTCAACCCGCAACCAGAACTTATATAGAAAACGGCGTCTGAGACAGAAGTAAAGGCCGTTAATGATGTATTTATCATTTCAGATAACTTGGTTTGTTTGGGATTATAAGCTTGGGGATGACTCGACTAAGCAACGTGAAGCAATTCCGAACCTTCTACAGGAACTAAAGTCGGTGCTTTGCGACACAATTACAGCAATCCTCTTTAATTATTATGCAATAGCTGACCGCTCATTAGGCGAAGCTGACTCCAGTTTGAGTACGAGACATGGCCCATCCCATTGGACCCGGCCATTTGACGTATAGATGAGTCCTGCGGAGCCTTGACCTGCTACGCATGGAATGGAAGCTTCTTTTCATACATCCCCGCCTCGTTCTCTAGGGCTGCCAACAAGGGAGACAGCTGAGAAGCGTTACGCCCTGTCACATGGTGATGCACATGTGGCGCCCTTCAGTCAGGGCAACCATACCACGTTCCTGTGATTGCCTCAGTGGGCCAATGGCACTTCGAGCGCAAAACCGAAGCAGACAAGTCAGAAGGAAGGATCGGCGGTGGTTGCGGCCGGTAGACTCCAGGACAAGGGAGGCAGGACAGGGCATGTTACAATGCGCTGGCAAAGATGGCAGCAAGGAGCACAGCCCACAAATGCAACGATCCCGGCGCTACGCTGCACCTGCGATATTTCGGTCAGTTCGCATCTATAGCTGCATCGCGTTTGCCTTTCTTCGTCCGAACCTGCATGCTGGCTTTTTCCTTATGACTTTGTTGTCGCCAGTTCTCAAGGTCAACCCCCGCCCTCGCTAGCCGCCGAACAGGGATGAGTAACTGCATAAGAGTGCTGTCATGCCCAAGCGGCGATGGCTTCCATGAGGTCTCTCGATTTACTTATTCAGCAACTCATCTATTTGTCTCCATGTCTAATGGTCAGACTCATTTGAAGTCTTATCGGTATTACGGGACGGCGGCATTGAAGCAAATCAGTCTTGCAATCATCCTGACAATTTTATGAGGTAAAGGCATGAGTGTTTTGCACCGTCATCTACATCTCAGCGAGTCCGAGACCAATTACAGCCTCTTACAAGCCAACAATGCGGCTGCCGAGGGGCGGAAAACCCTATGTGAGTTCACTGGTGCGGCTGATCGCCCGGTTGCGAATTAACTGCTGCTCCCTCAGCTTGTGGCTTCTCTTCCCTGTCGGCCGAGTATGGCTGCCGGAGGCTGTTTTTCCAGTAAATTTCTCAATCTTCCCGGATTCCGATCACTCGCATGCCCACCATGTCGGCTAAACAAAACTGGCGTCTCATTCACTCATCTCATGCTGCATAAGAAGAGGCGATCCTGCATGTTGCATGAGGCACATCGTCGAGTAACGGTTGACGGATTTTATTTCCCGGTGCAGCGAAAGTTGCAGCAACTATTTTCCAGACCAACAGCAACTGAATACTAATGATACTAATGGTACATATTGGGCCGAAGGGCGATCCTTCGCACTCCCACAGAGACATCATGAGCAAAAGGGAAAAGAATAAAAAGGTATGCTTGCCAGGCGTCAGGTTCGATCGATTCATATATTGGTACACAGAATGAGTGTCGTCCTCTTTGCCTCATCCTCGGTCGCTCTCCACTTCCTCTTTCCCGCGTCTTTTCTTATTTCATCCCCCTTTCATCCTCATTATCTCTTGAAAAGGACACTGCTCTCCGTTTCTTCCTCTCTCTTTTCATCTCCTCCTGAGCCTTTACAGTGTCTTGTGCGGTCGTAAAATTCAGATTGGGGCCGTCAAGCATTCAGGACGTCGTAACAAAGCTGGATCACTCGTCACCAATCCATCCTCCAGTTGTTCCATCCGAGCACACGTTCCTTTCTTTTCTTTTCTTCTCTTTGGAATGCTCTTCCTTCCTCCCCCAATTCGGCGCCGTTGGATGCTCCGTCCCAATCGATCGTCGTCAATTCATCGGCACCCTCGACGCCGTTGGCCTGAATAGTCATGGATACATGTGGCTCGTCCCAGGAACAAATCACCTATGGAAACGAACATCAAAAAGGGATTATTAAAACAGACAGCCTCCTTCGCACCGCCGTCGAACTCCACCGTGAAATGGGCAAAGATGGGGTAGTCAAAACAGAGAGATGAACCGAAAATCCGCCGGATATATGTTTTGCAAGGAAAAGAAAGCTTCGAAAAACCTGAACATCCTCAACACTCGAAAATGCAGCGTATTCAAAGTGAGAATAAAGGGTGCAAATGAGGGTGTGATACGAGGGACAGAGAATTGTGGCGCCGGGGGGGAAGAAGACGGCAGCACAAAGCAATTCCATGCGTGGAATAGCAGGCGAGGCAACGACCGCAGCCGAAGCACCTGATCTCTGCTCGTTGCAATTCGAGTGTATTTCGGAAGGTTTTGTTGCGTGTGCATGGGCAGTGCCGATGAGCTTAGCCACTATTCATTTTCGAAGCGCCATGTTTTCTGGTATCCCGCTGACAGTATGAAACATGGGGTATGAGTGTATATACGATCATACAGTTGATCGACATGTGTTTGGTCCTGTGAAGCCCTTGGTATCTCATCTTTTGTATGATGCGATTGGGAAAAAAAAAACGACGAAATATTCAGGCGAAAAGCAGACAAGAATGAACACCGGGAATATGAACGAATTTTGGTACACAGGTCGCCGAAGGAACAACCTAAAGAGGATATTATATGCGTCAAGGAGACAGCCGGAAATGTCGACATCGGATGGCGTCGTTAATCGTCAAAAGTCGGTACGTTTTACATGTTTTCGATGCGAGCGCTGGGCATCTGGATGGTAGTGTCCTCGAACTTCACTTCTCCGCCCCAAGGATCATACACACCAGAACCATAGGCTGGCATCTGTCCAATGGTGGCAACCTCAACAGGTGGCTGGTATGGCACACCGTTGTACCACTGCTCCTCAGGTTGAGGGGGCGCTGGTTGGTATTGCTCAGGCGGTGGAGGCGGCGGGGCTTGCTGCTGAGGCTCCATCTTCATGACTTGAGGTTGAGGCATTTGTTGCTGGCCCATTGGTTGCTGCATCTGCTGAGGGTATTGTTGCGGCATTTGTTGCTGGTACTGCATCATAGGCGCCTGTTGCTCAACCGGAGACGCATTGTGAAGAGCGTAGGTGGCCGCCTGGGGCGCTTGATGAGTGTAGAAGCCTTCTTGGGTTGACGGACTCCTTCCGGAGGCAGCCGAGAAACTGCTCGGGCTGCTCTGGATGGACGCTGTTAGGCCTGGTGCCGAATATGGGATATCTAGCGGAAGGCGTTCAACTTGCTGCCTGGGAACCTGGTACTGAGGTGGCATCGGATTCGTGTTCATCGTAGCGACTCCAGGATTACCTGATTCAGTCACATAATACGAATGTTGGGGCATGCTAGCTGTGCGATGAAGCATTTGCATGCCAGGATGCTCTTGCTGGACTGGATGGCCGCCGTGATACTCATGGGCTCCACCGGAGGAGACACTGTGCCGATGACCATACTGTTGGGGAATGTTATACTGCTGCATATGCTGACCGAAGTCAGCGAAAGAGGCCGCGCGGTGAATCGTATGGCCCTGCGGCATTCCCTGGTGATTCACTACGCCCTGGGGTGGCCAGTGCATCGCAGTCGTCCTCGGCGTGGAAGGAGAGTCATCAGATCCTGACTCTGAAGTGCAGTCATCCAACTCGGATGAGTGAATTCCACGCTGGTGAGAACGTCGTTGGTGCTTCACCATAGTTGTCTTCCGGCAGAAACTGAGGCATGGGTTAGGATATCTGCTCTAGCAACCACTGGGAAGGCTCTTACCTTTTAAGGCACCCGTTATGAGCGCATTTATACGGGCGTTTGCCGGTATGAATGCGGCGATGACGGGCAAGACTGGAAGACTGTATGAGTTAGCAATGATCTCCAAGTCATCTTGCTACATGAGACATACATCTGAGAATCGCTTGCCGCAACCAATGTGCTGGCATTGATGAGGCTTCTCGCCAGTGTGGGTACGGATGTGTACCGTCAAGGCACTGCGTTGAATGAAGCTCTTTCCGCATCCTGGTGTCTGGCATGAATACGGTCTCTCGTTGGTGTGTATGCGGTAATGTCGTTGCAAGTCAGACTTGCGGTTGAAGCTCTGTCATCGTACCTGGTTAGTGGCCTGGTCTTTGCCTCTAGATATCACCATTGTGATATGCTGATTTCTGGGATGGCACATACCTTGTTGCAAGATTGCCAGTCGCACTGAAAGGGACGAGCCGTCGGCTCATTTTCCACGAGTTCCATCAGTTCCATTTCCGTGGATAAAAGTCGTGAGGTAGTCTACCGACTATTCGAGTGTTTGGGTTCGGGATAGTGGCGTGCACAACGTCTTTATACGTCCAGATGGATGGGAACTAAGGTAATTGAAAATTATGCACTACTGACTGACAGGCAGCGTTGTGCAGAGAG